CCTGCTGAGTTTTCTCAGCAATTTCTAATTTCTAGCATTTGTAGTTCTTTTATAGTCATAGATTCATACCGCACGGAAAGAGCCCCTTTGGTCCAGACAATCCATACCAAACATAATCCCAATTTAACTAGTCCCACCTGCCTACTCCTGGCCCATATCCCTGCAAATCTTTCCTATTCATGTACTTATCAAAATGTCTTTTAAATGTTGTAATTGTACCAACATCCACCATTTCCTCAGGATGTTCATTCCACATGTAAACCACCCTCTGTGTAAAAAATTTGACCCTCATGTCTTTATTAAATCTCTCTGTTCTCACCTTAAAAATGTGCCCCCTGTCTTGAAATCCCTCATCCTAGGGAAAACACAACTACCATTAACCCTATCTGTACCCCTCATTATTTTATGAACTTCTATAAGGTCACCCCTCAACCTCCTGCACTACAGTGAAAAAAGTCCCAGCCTATCCAGCCTTTCTTTATAACTTGAACTTTCCATACCCGGCAACATCCTGGTAAATCTCTTCTGAACCCTACTATACTGCTGTACTCTATACTCATTATATGTTTGTACATCTCTCTGAAATCTGCTTTGTACCAAGGAAATGACCCCAACATTTCGATCTTAACTTTGTAGCTAAAATTCCTCATCCCTGGAACTACGCCAGCAAATCTGTAGATCTTCTCAAGGACGTATCATCCTTGCTAAAGTGGCCAGACTGGAAGTGATGTTGTAATTATGGACTCATCAGAGCTTGATAAACGTTGACCAAAATCCCCCAGCATTTGTAACCAGTGCCTCTGTTCACAAAGTTCATGTACCATGTGCTTTGCAAATTACTCTTTCAATATATCTGCCACCTTCAGTAATCTAAACACTTGCATCTAATCCCTCTGTCCCTGCATATGTTTTGGATCTGAGCCATTAACTTTCTAGACTTTTCCTATCCCTTCTAGCAAAGTGCATCAGTACACACATAGTTGTATTAAATTGCATCTGCCATTTGGCTTCCCATTCTACCATCTGTGTTGTCCTTTTGCAGTTAGTAAGTATCATCCTCCACGTTTGCCACTCATCCAAATTTGGTTTCATAGCTTGATATTGAAATTTGGCTGTGTATTTGTTCATGGAATGTGGGTGAGGCTAGCTAATACAGAATGTATTGCCCATACCTAATTGCCTTGGGGAAGATGATGGTGAGCTGCCTTCCTGAGCCCACTGCCGTCCATGAGGGGCAGATGCAATCACGGTGCTGTTGGGGAGGGAGTTTCAGGATTTTGCAATGAAGGAACAATGATATTATTCCAAGCCAAAGTGGTGTAGATCTTGGAAGGAAATTTACAGATATTGGTGCTATCACACCATCTCCTTGGCATTATGCCAGAGCTTTGATGTTCTTCCTTAAATGAGACATAAGAGCCCATGGTATTGGATGTTGCATATTGGCACGAATAGAGAATTGGTTAATGGACAAAAAATGGTAAGTTGAGATAAAGGGTTCTTTTCAGGTTGGTGATTTGTAATCAGTGGTTTTCCATGGGGATCAGTGTAGGAACTGCAATATATATTATTAACTTGGAGGAAGGAAGCAAAAGAACTGTAGCCAAGCTTGCAGATGACAAAAATAGATAGAAAGGCAGATTGAGAGAGGATATAAAAATTTACAGAGAGATATGAATATGTTAAGTAAGTGGGCAAAAGAGTTGGCACATGGTATATAATGGGTGAAAATATGAAGTTGTTCATTTTGGAAGGAAGAACAAAAGAACTGAGAATTATTTAATGGAAGAAGGACTGCACAAAGCATTGGGGTACTTGTGCAAGAAACACAGAAAACTAGCACACAGCTGCTAATCAGGTAATCAGGAAGACTAATATTGGCCCTAATTCAAGGGCGTTGAACTGTAAGAATAGTGAGGTCTTACTGCAACTGTACAAGGTGCTGGGGAGACCACATCTGGACTACTCTGCGCAGTTTTGTCCTCTAATTTTAAGGAAAGTTGTTTCATTTGAGAAGGTTGAAATAACTGCACAGAGGCCGGTATCCATCACCAAATCACCCTTTATTTCCTTTCGCACAGTAGACTGGCTGTGGCCAGTCAGCTCAGAATCAGTTTCTGGGACTGAGGAGATTCTAAATCTCCTGATAATGATGATCAGGTATGATTTTAACCACTGGAGAATTTGCCCCCAGATTCGCGTTCATTCTAGTTTTGCCAGGGCTTCTTGATGCCACACTCAGTCGAATGCAGCCTTGATATCAAGGGCTGTCATTCTCACTACATCTCTGGAATTCAGCTGTTTTGTCCATGTTTGAACTAAGGCTGTAATGAGGTCAGGAGCTGATGGTGGAACCCAAACTGGCCGTCACTGAGCAGGTTATTGCTTTGCAGGTGCTGCTTGATGGCACTGTTGATTACACCTTCCATTACTTTACTGATGATTGAGAGTAGACTGATGGGGTGGTAATTGGCCAGGTTGGATTTGCCTTGCTTGTTATTATGTATAGGACCTACTTGGGCAATTTTCCATATTGTCAGGTAGATACCAGTGTTGTAACTGTACTGGAACAGCTTGGCTAGGGGAGCATCAAGTTCTGGAGCACAAGTCTTCAGTACTACTGCTGGAATATTGTCAGGGCCCATAGCCTTTGTAGTATCTAGTGTCTCTACCCTTTCTTGATATCACACGGAGTGAATTGAATTGACTGAAGACTGGAATCTGTAATGCTGGGGACCACTGGAAGAGGCCGAGATGGGTCATCCACTTGGTAGTACTGGCTGACGATTACCGTGAAAGCTTCAGCCCTATCTTTTGCACTAATGTGCTGGGCTGTTCCATCATTGAGGATCAGGATATTTGTGGAGCAGCCTCCTCCAGTGAGTTGTTTAATCGTCTCCCACCTTTCACGACTGGATGTGGCAGGACTACAGAGCTTAGATCTTACCCATTGGTTGTGGGATTGCTTAGCTCTGTCTATCACTTGCTGTTTATGCTGTTTGGCATGCAAGTAATTCTTTTTGGTGGCTTTACCAGGTTGACCCCTCAGCTTCAGTTATGCCTGGTGCTGCATCTGGCATGCCTGCCTGCCTTGATGTAATGGTTGAGTGGCATATATGCTGGCCCATGAGGTTATAGTTTGTGCTGGAGTACAATTCTGCTGCTGTTGATGGCCCACAGTGCCTTATGGATGCCCAGTCTTGAATTGCTAGATCTGTTCAAAGTCTATCCCATTTAGCATATTGATAGTGCCACGCAACACAATGAAGGTTATTCTCAATGTGAAGGTGGGACTTCATCTGTGCAGTTTTCGCTCTTACCGATACTGATACAGAAAGGTTGGTTCCCCTTGTGGGTGAGTCTAGGATCAGAGGCCATAATCTCAGAATTATGGGTCATGCAGAAATGAGGAAGAATTTCTCGTTTGAGGGTTGTGAATCTGTGGAATTCTTTACTACAGGGTCCAAAGAGGCTGCATCATTAAATAGATTCAAGGCTGAGATAGAAAGATTTTTAATCACTAAGGGTATTGAGGATTTTTGGGGGAGCGAAAAGCAGGGAAGTGGAGTTGAGGATCATCAGCTCAGTCATCATCTTATTAAATGATGGAGCAAACTCGATGGGCTGAATAGCCTGCTCTTGCCTCTGTCTTATTGTCGGTCTTACATGTTGATTAAGGATCTTTGGTATAACTGTCATCTATTTTAGTTTTATGTATTTCATTATGGAGTGTCATAATTTTCAATTACATGTTACGATAACTGTGATGTACTTCCATGCTTTTTCTGTCACATTTCTTAAACAGCAGGGAGACATGCACAGTTTCAAATTTAAACGAATGGCTCCTGAATTGAGAGAATATTGTAAGATTACAATGAGGGCATCTGCAATGTTTTTACCATTTTTAAAACCCTGATTTACTAGCCCCTAGTGCCAATTGGTTGTCACTCTTTAACGTCATTATTTTCTTCTTTACTGTCATTTTGTTGAAGTTAGTTTTCATGAGTCTCTGTTGCTGAATCGGTGTTTTGTTTTCATGTGATATCTGGCATGATCTCAGTCCCTACATGTTTGTCAGTTCTTTATTTTTGTTTGTAAGTTTTAGCAATATCTATTTCAGTGGTCTACATTGCTCCTGATCACTTTTTCCAAGTGCAGCTGTAAAAATTTATTTATGGTCATTCCCAAAGATGCTATTTACATGTGAAGATGTAGCTGATTTGGGTGCAGAGGCTTCTTATAACTTGCGCTGAGAAAATACTAAAGCTGTTTGCATTGGATAAGAAGCTTATTCAGTCATTATTACTTATTCATGAGAAGTTGTGTTTGTTATAGAATCAGCTAGATAATTTTACTGGAGTCTGCAGTTTTTCAGCCATATCTTTTAACTATTTGAGGGTGTCAGTCACGCACTGACTGCCATTATATGTGCTTATACAGGAGGGACAATGTACAGTGAGGCCAGAGGATGTCACAAGACAGAAATCACAGACAGAGAGTATTGATTGTTTATGTTCAGCCTAATTTAGTTCTGAAGAATTATCTTTGAATTAAGAAACTGTTAATGGACAAAGCTCACAGTATAAAATTCTCAACATGAAAAGGTGGTTGAGAAGAGGAAGCACATCAGAAGGTAGGCTTAGTTAGCACCAACTTTGAAGGTTAAGGTGAGAAGGGTAGACTGAGAGAAGTGAGTTTCACAGTTCTGGAGCTTGTGTGTGAAATGGAAAGTGTGAAATGTCTAGATTTCAATGTTGCAAAGATGAAGAATAGGTTTGCAATGATAATGTAGCAATCATTCTGAACAAACGAATGGACCATCCTGGGTGAGACCATTTTATTGTTGAGCAATTTGACAGATTTCTGGAAGTCCCTTTTAAAGATCAAAAATAACAATGATAACCATTAATAGAGTGAGAGTTTTGGTTGTTGTGCAATCTTGTAAATTGTTGCTGGATTTTTGACTGGATTTGTAATGGGCATGTTTTTTTTGTTCACAGAAGGTAAGGGAGAAGAGAATCAAATTGCCAGACAGCAACGAAGTGGACAGTTCTGATGGACGGCATCTGGGGTACAGCCGACGGCTGAACCCGCAGAGAGCAAGTAGGGAACAGCCAGGTAGCACTGCCAGCGTACTGAGGACTAGTTTAATAAGGCAAAAACCTGCAGTACGGCACAGAATCGCCCCAAAAATCCACTACGGTGATACCATCCAAAATGATCCATTCAGCAGTAGAAACACCAGCGATGTGAAAGTGGAATCGAAGAATGGAGACATCGGCAGTGTGGGTGGAGTTCCTCAACCCACCAACAATGGCTTCTCACCCAATTGTGACATTGTGGGGAAGGATGCCTTGTCTGCATTAGCCAGGGCAAGCACTCAGCAGTGCCAACAAGAAATCACCAATGTTGTCTGTTTACACCAGGCTGGGAGACTGATGCCACACTCTATACCTCGCTCCTGTCATCTCTCAGGTATAATGCATCAATAAGATTCAACTCCTTTCTATAAAGATTGCATCAATTTACTGTAAGCTCTTTCCATCCAGATTTTTACTGTGGAATTTTGAGTTCAGTGAGATGAGGAATTTTACTGAGGTTGTAGACTTGGTCGCTGAGCCACTGTGTTTGGTTGCAGACACTTCATCACCCTGCTGGGTAACATTGTCAGTGCATCTCCAGTGAAGCGTTGGTGTTCTGTCCCATTTGTTATTTTTGTGCCTCGGTTTGCTGGGGTGGTCGGCATTACTTCCGGTTCTGTTTTTCAGTGGTTTGTATATCGGGTCCAGTTCAGTGTGTTTGCTGATGGAGTTCTGGTTGGAATGCCAGGCCTCCAGGAATTTCCTGGCATGTCTCTGTTTGGCTCCTGCTATTATGGGTGTGTTGTCCCAGTTGATTAGTTCAGCCGGGGAAGGCAGTTGAGGCCAAAACATTTAATGTTTTCAAGAAGGAGTTAGATCTAGTTTTAGAGCTAATGGAATCAAAGGATGTTAGGGAGAAAGTACGAAGAGGTTACTGAGTTGGGTGATCAACTGTGGTCATATTGAACAGTGGTTTGAAGGGCTGAATAGCCTACTCCTATTCCTACTTTCAATGTTAAGATTCCATTCAGGGATCAATAAGTTATATTTCTTAAAGTAAACAGAATTTAAAATCCTGGGTATTTGCTAACAGAATAAAGTCACAAATTTCCATGATTTTAAACAAATAAATAATTTTTACTAAGCAAACATTAAATACTATTTATCCTATACTTTACCATTCAAAATTAACATGAGGTAAACTGCAAACTGTAGTTGAACACTAACCAAAAAACATTTCTGAAGAAGGGTCTAGGCCCGAAACGTCAGCCTTCCTGCTCCTCTGATGCTGCTTGGCCTGCTGTATTCGTCCAGCTCTACACCTTGTTGGCTCAGTGGTTAGCACTGCTGCCTCACAGCGCCAGGTACCTGGGTTCAGTTTCAGCCTCCTCTGTGTGGAGTTTGCACATTCTCCCCTTGTTTGTGTGGGTTTCCTCTGTGAGCACCTGTTTCCTCCCACAATCCAAAGATATGCAGGTTAGGTGCATTGGCCATGCGAAATTGCCCACAGTGTCTGGGGAATGTGTAGGTTAGGTGGATTAGCATGGGAGTTTCAGGGATAGGTTAGGGGAGTGAGTCTGGGTGGGGTGCTCTTTGGAGAGTTGGTATGGACTTGTTGGGCAGAATGGCCTGTTTCCAAACAGTCGGGATTCTATGAGGCAGATAAGTTGTTCTTCAGTTTCACTGAGCTTGACAACTCATCCTCATGGGCATTCTCCTGTGTCCTGGTTTCCAATCCACTGAGCAAACACATTCACAGAGCTGATACTGCTTCTGAGACCCAATTTTCTAGCTGCACAGAACTATTGACTACTGTTGTTTGTTCAAATCTTTCTTGTGGGTTCCCATGCACTAGCATGTTAGGCCAGGAGATATAACAATACAGAAGCAGCAGGGGATATTTCAGAATACTCAGTGTAACAATATTTTATGAAGAAAATTTCTTAAAGGAAATTTTAGTTAATCTTCTGTGGTTAACTAACCAAGTTAGGAAAAGCTTAAAAATCAGTGGCAGGTCAGATGATTGGCCAGAACATAACCTTTCATCGTTCTCTGCCATTCTTTAAAACAGGCAGAAGAAATTAGAATATGAGAAGAAAATAGATAGGAATGTAAACATGGATAGCAAGAATTTCTACAGGTATTTAGAAGGAAAAGATGAAGTAAAGTGAGTACTAGAGAGAGAAAGAATAACGAGCTAGCAGTAGATAATGAGGAAATGGTGGATGCAAAGAACAAATATTTGTTCTGTCTTCACTACAGAATAATAGCTGTAAATCAGGGGTAGAAGGGAAAGGAGAACTTAGCGAACTTCCAGTCACCGGGGCGTAATACTAAACAAACTATTGGAGCTGCAGGTTGAGAAATCTCTGCGCCCACATCTTAGTGTTTTAAAAACAAAGTCATCACATGACTATAAAAAAAGGAACAGGAGTAGGCCATTCAGCTCCTTGACCCTGTTCCGCCATTCAGTGGCTGATCCAACATTCTTCATGTCTACTTTCCTGTCCTTCCCCATAACTCTTCATTTCGCCACTGATTATGAATCCATCCCAGTCTTAAATATATACAAGGACTCTACCTCATAGCTTTCTGTGGCAGGAAGTTTCAAAGACACTCAACCTTCTGAGAAAAGAAATTACTCCCCATCTTGGTCTGAAATTGGTGACCCTTTATTCTGCGACTATGCTGTCTGGTCAATATCCTCTCAGCAAGCCCCTTAATAATCCTGTGGTTTGATAAGATGACCTCTCATTCTTCTAAACTCCCAACGAATAGAAGTCTAACCTGTTTAGTCCTTGCTGAATCCTTCCAAACAGTGAACTTCCTCTGAACTGCCTCCAATGAAATAATGGCCTTCCTTAGATAAGGGGACCAAAACTGCTCACAGTCCTCCAGATATGGTTTCACCAGCACCTTACACTTGCAGTTAAGACTTCCCTACTCTTATACTTCAGCCCTCTTGAAATAAGGGCAGACGTTTCATTAGCCTCAGAGATGGTAAGAACTGCTGATGCTGGAGTCAGAGATAACATGGTGTGAAGCTGAAGGAAAACAGCAGGCCAGGCCAGGCAGCATCAGAGGAGCAGGAAAATTGACGGTTCAGTCAGGACCTTTCTTCAGAAATGGGGGAGGGAAGGGAGCTCAGAAATAAATAGAGAGAGAGGGGTGAGGCTGGGGAAGGTAGTTGGGATGGTGATAGGTGAGTGCAGGTAGGCAGTGGTGGGGATTGGTCAGTGAAGTGGGAGGAGCAGATAGGTGGGAGAGAAGATGGACAGGTTGTGTCAGGTCAAGGAGGTGGAGATGAGAGGGAGGGTTGGTCATGGGATGAGGCCTGGAGTGGGGAGATTTTGAAACTGGTAAAGTCCACATTTAAGCCATTGGGCTGGAGGCTCCCAAGGCGGAATATGAGGTGCTGCTCCTCCAGTTTCCGGGTGGTAACCTGGTGACATTGTGACACTGGAGGAGGCCCAGGATGGACATGTCACCCGGGTTGGGGGGGTGTTGCTGGTGGGGGGGTGGTGCTGGGGGTGGGGTGGGGGTGCGGGGGTTGGGGGGGAGCTGGAGTGAGGGGCGTGGTGGTAAAATGGTTCAAAACCGGAAGGTGTTGTAGTTTGTGGCGAACAGAGTGCAGGTGCTCGACAAAGCAATCTCTGAACCTCCTGATTAGCCTTTCATGAGCTTTCCTGATTACCTGCTGCACCTGTGTGCTAGTTTTCTGCATTTCATGCACAAGTATCCCCAAGTACCTTTGTGTTGCAGTTTTCCGCAGTTACTTTTTCCATTTAAATACTACTGTGTTTCATTGTTGTTAATTTTCCAACTTTCTGAAAAGTTTCAATCCGACTGGAAATTCCAAATGTAGCTTCTCTATTCAAGCAAGAAAGGAGGTAAAAAAACATGAAGCTATAAACCAGTTATCTTAATGTCTGTCAGAGGGAATATATCAGAATTAATTGTAAAAGAGGTTGGGGTATGTCATGACTGTCCCTATGTTTAAAATACTCTCAAGTTAATCAAGAAGAGTCAGCATGGTTTTACAAAGGATAAAGAAAATTACAGCACAGGAACAGGCCATTCGGCCCTCCAAGCCTGCGCCGGTCCAGATCCTCTATCTAAACCTGTCGCCTGTTTTCCAAGGATCTGTATCCCTCTGCTCCCTGCCCATTCATGCATCTGTCTAGATACATCTTAAATGACGCTATCGTGCCCGCCTCTACCACCTCCGCTGGCAACGCGTTCCAGGCACCCAAGACCCTCTGCGTGAAGAACTTTCCACGTATATCTCCTTTAAACTTTTCCCCTTTCACCTTGAAATCGTGACCCCTAGTAATTGAGTCCCCCACTCTGGGAAAAAGCTTCTTGCTATCCACCCTGTCTATACCTCTCATGATTTTGTAGACCTCAATCAGGTCCCCCCTCAACTTCCGTCTTTCTAATGTAAATAATTCTAATCTACTCAACCTCTCTTCATAGCTTGCACCCTCCATACCAGGCAACGTCCTGGTGAACCTCCTCTGCACCCTCTCCAAAGCATCCACATCCTTTTGGTAATGTGGCAACCAGAACTGTACGCAGTATTCCAAATGTGGTCGAACCAAAGTCCTATACAACTGTAACATGACCTGCCAACTCAATACCCTGTCCGATGAATGAAAGCATGCCGTATGCCTTCTTGACCACTCTATTGACCTGTGTTGCCACCTTCAGGGTACAATGAACCTGAACACCCAGATCTCTCTCTGCATCAATTTTCCCCAGGGCTTTTCCATTTACTGTATAGTTCGCTCTTGAATTGGATCTTCCAAAATGCATCACCTCGCATTTGCCTGGATTGAACTCTATCTGCCATTTCTCCGCTCAACTCTCCAATCTATCTATATTCTGCTGCATTCTCCGACAGTCCCCTTCACTGTCTGCTACTCCACCAATCTTAGTGTCATCTGCAAACTTGCTAATCAGACCATCTATACCTTCCTCCAGATCATTTATGTATATCACAAACAACAGTGGTCCCAACACGGATCCCTGTGGTCACAGTTCTCCATTTTGAGAAACTTCCTTCCACTACAACTCCCTGTCTCCTGTTGCCCAGCCAGTTCTCTATCCATGTAGCCAGTACACCTTGGACCCCATGCGACTTCACTTTCTCCATCAGCCTACCATGGGGAACCTTATCAAACGCCTTACTGAAGTCCATGTATATGACATCTACAGCCCTTCCCTCATCTATCAACTTTGTCACTTCCTCAAAGAATTCTATCAAGTTGGTAAGACATGACCTTCCCTGCACAAAACCATGCTGCCTATCACTAATAAGCTCATTTTCTTCCAAATGTAAATAGATCCTATCCCTCAGTATCTTCTCCAGCAGCTTCTCCACCACTGACATCA